ATTAAATATGAATGGGGATATACGTCAGTCAGATTTCACTCTTAAGAATTTCTAGGGGTGCCAACAATTGTGGCAGAAATAGATTTAAGAAAAAATTTCTTTCATGACAAAATTTAGTTTTTTATTTCAGTCACTATATCTTTAATACAGGTTAGATTTTTGGGAATGTTTTCAATGAAAGATCAAAAGGGTAAATAATTAAGAATATTTTTACAGCTCATTTTACTCAAGATTATTAGTAGTGCCAATATTTATGGAGGGCACTGTATCTGTCCAGTTCCATCTTTGCTTGTGTCATAACTTATACACCACAATGAAACTTGTGTGTGCGCGATACCCCATGTTTGCCCAACACACCAGATGCTAATTAACCAATGAACTAATTAAAAGGACTCATATTGTTGAAACCCAAAAAAAACCCAAAATACTCCTCGCTTTTTAAACAGTTTCAAAACGTACTGTTCACTCCCCAGTCCACATATGGAAACTAAGCTGCAAAAATAACTTGGTTTGATGCCACTGTTTTCATGACATCATTAAAACCAATGCATTTACATATATCCTCCCATTTAGCCATCAGCAGTTTACCTCTGCCCACTGATGCTGAAGTTATAAAGAGTGTTCCAGCATAGACTGCTTTTTATTTAGGTACCATACACTGCAGCCAATCAAAGGCACAGCAACAGCTTGTTTAATTCTAAGAAATCAAGAGATGTTGGAAAAATGACCATGTTAAAACGAAAAAGGGGAATTAAGGGGAAAACACAAGAAAAATGAAGGCTGTAGCCTCTTTTATAAGCCCTGCCTTAGGTGAACTGGGTGCATTAGTACAGTGAGAACACAAACATGCAGCCCAGTGGTACTCTTGGATCAGGACTGAGAACCACTGGTCTTAGTGTGCGCTCCATTTCAACAAAAAGACAAGAAATCCTGCGAAAAACTGTGGCTTAAACTGTGACAAGCACTTTTTGAGATTTGTTAGGATTTTCTAAGTTTTTGCCCGGCTTTACTGCTTCTAGGAAATACAGCACTCCATGACCACATAAGGCATTACCATATTTTCTGATGCTCTCTCAATATAAGTGGCGAGATTTGTCTCTGAATTGCAAACACTGCACTCAAACATGAGTGGTTATGGTTCAAGTACAATTTAAATTTATTGTGCTTAGGAAAATCCATTTGATCCATCTTATCTGTGGTTCAAACACTATCCGAAAAGACACAAACGCAATTTTACTCTGCTTCCCAAAACTCCAGTATTTGTGTAAAGCCTTATGACCTACTCAGGCAGAGAACACGGTCCTGTCTACCTCAATGCTGTATGACAGAGGATGAGCCACTCCAGTGCCACTGTAAAACTCTTGCTCTTCTGCGCCTGCTCTCACTCACTCTCATCCCCCCCAGTCTGCACTGAGTAAACTAATGACAAATTAATAACCTGCTGGGGCATGTTCCACGCTCGCCCATAAACTCCCTCTAATCAAACCATCAGTCACCTGCCACACACTGCACCCCATCCATGTAAAATAAGCCCAAATGAAACATAAAAAATATCCACTCAATTTCAGTGTGCAAAGGAGTGTGAAAAAAACAGTCCATAACGTCACGGCGGCAGACACACACGCCTAGCACGTCTGGCTGACAGGCAGTTTTAAAGTTCATAAAATCCCCCTGTGAGCTGCGGGCCGCTGCACACAACGTAAACACGCACTGCATGCTGCAGCTGCCCTGCATGGTCAGCCTTTTCACCAAGCTGTGTTTATATCCCTAAACCAGTGTTTCCCAAACCAAACGCACCACATTTGTGCTGTATTACAGCTCCGAACACACCTGAACCAAGGCATTACGCACAATCAATACCTGGGGTTAGAGCAAAAAAGTCTACCATCTGGTCTTAAAAAGCTGGGTTGAGAAACACTGGCCTGAGCTAGGGATGTTCAGATCAAGGCACATTTTAGACGAGACACTACAGGTTAAAAATGATCCATTTCACAATGATATTTTGCCATTTCATTACTTATATTTTGTCAAAAAATATATATTTAGATATTCAGATAAGACATTATCTACTTAAATACGCATACACTTGCACATTTCTAAAATCAAAAATCTAGTCTTCAGATGATTAAAATGTTTGTTTCCTTGTAAAGACTTTCTTCAGGGAAAGAGCAGATTAGATGGGTTTATTTTACTTAAGAAAACACTATGCATCATAATTCCAAACCCCTTTTTTCCTCATTCCATAGCACAAAATCTAGCATAAACGCAGCCATGAGCGATATACTACAGCAATCAGCCACCAGTGGCTGTGTGTTACTGCGATTGTATCATGGGAAGTGTGTTCTTAGGCATAATGCAAAACTTTTTTCGTGTATAACAATGAACATACGATAACACAGCACTGTTTAATGCGATCGAAAACGCAAACACCTTTGCTGTATAAGTACTTTTTGGTTGCCAAATTACCACCGCGAGTCTTATTTAGCAACAAACCAACAGCGCCCCTCTTTTCACACTGGGGCTGAATCTCAAATGGCTCCCTGCTCCCTACATAGTGCACTAATGGATCCTGCACCTCAACAGTGCAAAATATAGCTAAGAAATGCTGCTGCTGTTAGGGGGTCATAGGTGTGTGTATATCAGGGATTTTACAATGGCTTAGGATGCGGCTCAGCCAATCAGATTTTAGGACCAGAACTATCCGTTTTATAATAGGAAATAATTCTGCGACATCCTTCTAAATAGTGAATGAAGGAATGAAAATGGAAGATTTCATGAATGCAGGTATTCTAGCATTTGAGAAGCTGAGATGTTTGGTTTCAAATGTAGAGAAAAGCTGATTTATAGAAAACATTCTTTGTGTGAATATTGTAATTAGTATAAACAAAATAAACATATTTGGATATTCTATTTATATTCTACAGAAAACAAGCTTTTCAGTGGTTGTGCTCAATGTGCAAAGGCTTCTTTGCAGTTGCTTTTAGAGAATACAGTTGTATGGGGCCAGATGACCTTAAGAATATTTTTTATTATTTACTTATTATCATTTTTAAACTTTGGGTAACAGCGTCATACCTTCAAAATGACCTTGTTAGTCAAAATTACCATCACTGAAAATAAAGAATAAAGAATGAGAAAATGTTCTTTTCTTCTCATGATCTTCAGAAAATCTGGATGATGTAATTTTCTGAATAATTCAAATGTTTCATACAGCTGGGTTGGTTCAGGTAACAGAGTTGAGTGAATGAAAAAGGAATGTTCCAAGCAAGAGATGTTAAATGGATTTACGCATTAAAGAACAAATAATATTTTTGAAGCACTTACTGATTATATTTCGAGTTAAAAGTGTAGTTAAAGTGGTCTGTGACACCAAAATATAGTGTTTTAGATTTTAGAGGCTTTATTAATGTTTTAAGCTACTTATTTAAAGCATGCACATAGGTTGTTGTAAAGGACATTTACCCTGTGTTTAAAATGTCTTTACCTTTACTTTACATGCATATTTGTAAATGTAATGTCAGTGGGACACAAAAGGCTGGAACCACGCTTTTACTGTCAGTGGATTATGCTACTGTGAAAACAGTAGGCATGTGGATTCCAACTAAATATTCAAGTATATAAAATCAAGTATATATAAATATCCAAGTTAACGAACAAATATGAATGGGGAAGGAAAAAATGCAACCAGACAAAAAGAGACCTCGGCCAAAATTACATGGGGCTTTGAGGATTACCCTTCTAGGTAACAGTACCTGTGTTAAGGGCCTTAAAAAAAAATCAGCAGCACAAAAACAGCACCATACAGAAATCAGTCGTTCTCATGTTGGATGAGTAATGTAGACCGCTTCTTCAGATGAGCTAAAACTACAGCTAACTGGTACAACATTGGATGCTGCTGAGAACTTGTTGTCTTGCGTGAGGTGTTTTCTTCTCAGTGGAAAATGTGGCAACATGTTATTTGTCAAAGAAATATTTTCCACTGTGAAATTAAATGAATGGTGGTACATTTAAGATTCATGATGTATTGAATCATTTCCTAAAGAATCGTTTAGCTCTACCCCCCCCAGCAACTTCCACGCATGCAAAGATGCACGCACATACGCATCATGCTGAGTACTCAGGATTTCCTGACTGGATGGTTGGTTATTTGTCCAGGTGAGCAGTGGACGCCAGCTGTTAGTGTTAATAATAAGCTTTCTTCCCCTGACAGACATTGGCTACAGGAAGGACCTGTCTGGGTTCAGAGGCATCGGCATTGGCATCGATTTGGAACATGGCAGGAAAGAAAGTGCAAAGAGCTCCAGAGGCACGGAAACGACGTCAACAGCAGGATATTACTGCAGATGGAATAAAGCAGTCTTCAGTGGAGTCAATTCCCTCTCATGCAAGAGATCAGATGGCGATAAGCTCCACTATTGGCAGCCGAATAATGGACAGAGATGGCTCATCATCTGGCAGCATAATTTACAGACGCAAACATTGCATCATAACATACGTTTGGTGTTTATTTATACTGCTTTTCATCACTTTCTCAGTATCTCTTTGACAGACCGGTCTGCTCACTCGTCAGAGAAGCACAGCATTAGAATCTTCACAGTATTAGTTGAAGAGAAATAGATAACCACACATGCAAACACGCCATTTCATTTACAACACAGACGAGGCCAGAGATCAGGAGAAAGCCGTCTAGAGTGACAGCTGCGTTGCATCAGCCTGCTGAAATGATACTCTCTTACAAAGACAGACATCCCTCATGCACACACACTATCACAGATACAGGGACAGGATCAAGAGGCAGTCACAGCACATACTGACGCTTCACATTCTGTCAGCTTCACTCTGGTGAGACTGACATACAACATAATCTACAGTGAACGAAGCGCAGAAATGCTGCTTACAAATTCTGATAAATATTTGTGTTCTACATAATTGTTTCCCAGCTTTAAATGGTGCAGTTTATGAACAGACAATAAAGTGTTGGTGGTGTTTTGGCAGCGTACCTGAGTGATTTTGGTTTGCACTGAAGAAACGATGGTGGAAGAGACTTGCTTGTCTTTTTCCTGTGAACCATCCCTGAGAAAGAGAGAGAGAGATAGAGAGAGAGAAAGAGAGAGAGAGAGAAGGGGGCAGATGAGGAGTAATGGGGTAGAGAGGTAGTGACAGAAAGGGAGAGAACGAGAGAGAGTGAGTGAGCGACACAGAGAGAGATAGGGAGACAGTGAGTAATAGAAAAAGAGCAAGTGAGAAAGATAGAGAGCCAGTAAGAGCGAGAGAGTGCGTGAGAGAGAGAGAGAGAGAGAGAGAGGAGAGAGAGAGAGAGAGAGAGACGGGGTGGGTTGGGAGAGAGTGAGAGAGAGGTAGTGACACAAAGGGAAAGAATGAGAGAGAAGGAGAGTATAAGCGAGAGAAAGAGAGAGACGGTGAGTAAGAGAGAGAGAGAAAAAGAGCAAGAGAGAAAGAGACAGAGAGAGCGCCAGCAAGAGAGAGAGAGGGAGATAGAGAGGGAGAGTGTGCACGAGAGAGAGAGAGAGAGAGAGAGCGCAAGTGAGTGAGCAAGAGAAGGAGAGAAAGACAGAGAGAAAGGGTTGGCGGGTTGGGAGTGACAGAGGGATGGAGGGATGGGAGGTGAGAGAGAGAGGTAGTGACAGAAAGGGAGAGAAGGAGAGAGGAGAGTGATTGTGAGAAAGAGAGACAGGCAGACATTGAACGAGAGAGAAAAAAAAAAGAATGGGAGAGAGAAAAAAGATCAAGAGAGAAAAAGACGCAGAGACAGAGAAGAGAACCAGCAAGAGAGAGAGAGAAACAGAGAGCGAGAGACATGGAGAAAGAGGGAGAGGGAGAGTGAGCAAGAGAGAGACAGAGAGAGAGAGGGAGAAAGTGAGAGTGAGAGAGAGAGAGAGAGAGACAGTGAGGGGGGGGGTAGGTTAGTCATCAATAGGCAGCGGCTAATACAGTATTCATGGCAGCTGGTGTGTATTTAAAGCTGTGAGGACAGGCAGGAAAGGAGAATGTCCAGATCTCAGACCAGAAACTGGATGACCAGAGAATGGACCCATGAAATATTCATCCATCCCCAGAACAGACAACAAGCGCACAAATAAAATAAAAAGAAAGGAAAAAAAAAGAGAAATAGAAGTCCATAGATCTGGAGTATGAACTTTTTTGCTGAAGCCTGATGAGCTCGGAGAGCATATGCTTATATTCAAATAACAATCAGTACTGTGGAGCGCTGTGTTTCTGGATTCCTTCCTTCCTCCGTGCTCATGAGTGTCAAAACACATTCTAAATCAAAAGTCACTGTGGGTGATTCTGTACCTCCAAAGCTTTCATGTTTCATTCAACAGGTCATTAGTCTAGTTGTCAAATCATGCCAAAAGTGCGGGTAAGTTTAAAGGAAAAGCTGCTGAAAGCGCTGTCTTTGTTGTGATGGTAATTTGAGATTCGCTAAGAACACTGTGGGACGTTGGTTGTGAGTCATGCAGAATAAAAAACACATTTGCTAGAAGCACAGCAATATACAATTCTTGTTTAAGCTCTCGCCAAGCACAGCCTAGTGCTTTCTAGCTGAGCTTCAGGCTAACATTTATTAGCATTTGATTCGACAAATCTGAGGTGGACCTTACCTGGACCTGCTGGAGGCAGGGCTAGTGGCAGGGGAGGGGCTTGTGCCAAATCTGGAGCCTTTTGGTGAAGCTGAAGGTGAACAGGAAGAAGCCTGCCGAGATTTCGAGCTCTTCTTTTTCCTCTTTTCATGCGGAGACCTAACAGAAACAAACAGTGTGTGTGAAGAGGATACCTGCAAAGAATGAAATTACAGGAGAGACCGAGATGGGAAACACTCTGTGAACCGATTCTGCGGGTAGAAATTACCCCTTCATGCTATGGTTAATTACCCTGGCTCAAACCTCACAGGGCAATTCCACCCATGATGAATATGTCAGCATTAATTAATCAATCACTAAGATGTCAACAAAATCATTTAGAGTGATTAGATGTGAGAAGCTCTGTTCTAAAGAAATGTGATGTGAACTTTCTATGATAGTTCTGTATATTAAATTACAGTCATGCAGAGCCAAGTAGTAGAGAAAGAAAACATTTTTTCTAGACTTACCACCATCTTATATGATGTGTAGGTTCACTGGTCATTTTGGATATTAAACAAAATAGCCATATTTATGTTGCTGGTATCACAACTTTGAGCTACCATCACCACCGTTACAAATACTCTACAGTACACTACTTTACAACAAAGGCTGCAAGTCATTTTTGTATTTTTTACAACGTAACCATGGTCAGGAGCAGCTTAGAGTAAAGCAACCTGTGCTAGTAACTGATCAGCAGAATGATACAAGCATGGTGTATCAGATTTACTCTGTATAACAACATGGGCTGAATGCTTTCAATCAATCAATCTATTGATCTATGACATTGTTTAAAAGGTGACAGTATTTTATCGTCATTGAGATAAATTGCCATAATATGCTTTTATGAACAGTTTGTTGGATCGTCACACTGACACTACATTTTTAATTAAAAAGTGAGTATAATTAAGCCTGTTTAATTGGATTTAGTCAAGTGCAGTTTGAGGAACATTAAATAAAACTCACTGTAGTAAGTTTATTATTATTATAGTACTTCTTAATATGTGGCACTACAGGATCTATTTTGTCTGTTCTAACTTACTAAATCTCAGAAAAACTAAATATCATCATACATATCATGCATTTTGAAAATATCTCTAGTATCATGATATAATATCTTGGCCATATCGCCCACCTCTATCTGATTATTTCAGGATTATATCTGGATAGTGCTGACCCATATGAAAATGCAGGTGTAAATGCATCCTAGGATGCAATTTAATACAAATTTAAATCTGATCGATCAAACTACTTCAGCAGGTGGTCCGAGACACATTTCAGCCAGATGTTATACAAGTGTACATGCATCTGGTCTCTTCAAGCCACATTTGACAACCAAAACCCTTCCCCGTACTGTAATAGTGCCTCTTTCTGATGTTCTGTTTATGGGGCATCCCTGCTTCTTTATTTCAGCTCTTGATTGTGAGGTTCTTCTGAGTTTTATTTGGTAGGCTACTTTCTCAGGCCTTCAGGTGAGCTAGGCAGCTTAAATAAAGAACCTACTTGATTATCTTTTACTTCATCTCAACATTTTTCACCATCTCATCTCTTTACAATACCACACAATACCTCTAAATATCGACTGCTGGCGTAACGTCATGAACAGTGCCATGCAAAACTGTTATTTTCTTTTGAATAGAACAGAAAAACAAGAAACAGCACAAGCAACTGTAGTTGTATTCAGGCTAATTTGCATTTTATGCACCACACAGTAATCAGATTCCAATCTGACTAACCAAAGATGCATTTAACTACCAAGTGTAAATGTAAGTGGTTAAAATCTAAAGTTATCCAGATAGTAGTGGCACAAAAAGACCAGGAGAAAATGGGGTCTGATTATGCCTTTTAAAACTAGACTGCTCAATGAGACACCATTTCTGATGTTGTGAGCTAAGACTCTTTATTATTTTCACTGAAATATCAACATTATACTTTCATAACATGTATGAAGTCATGTGCTCCATGGTAGGACCATATTTGCATAACCTACTGTTCTTTTCCCTTTTTCTACTAAACATTTATGACAGACATCCCGTTCGGATAGGATTGATGGCCATCAGCCCAAGACTCAGAGCTAGGCAAAAAGGCAACGCTCGCATCAGTGCAAAAAATAAGAGCAAGTCGAAAGGCACAAAGGCAAGGAACTGTGAAAAGCTGTCCGCTCTGCTCCTTTCCAGGAAGGGGGACTTGTGGCTCCGGGGACAGCAAAGCCTGAGCTACTGTGAGTGTGTGACATGCACTGCAGCGCTGTGCAATCAGCATGGAGACATGCAGTGCCAGACTGCACTCACTCCAGTAGATCTGAACCACAGCTGCCAAGACGGACTCAAGCTGCAGAAATACAGGCCCTGTCAAGAACCTTTCATTTCCGAGCATGACGCTAATGGACGTGATTCACTGAAACGCCTTGGTCAAGTTGCACGCTTTTTAAAGATCGACATGTCAAGCCATCTGAACTGATCTGTAATTACCTGTGGAAAAGCGAGAAGTAATTTAAAATAGAGTGGGAGGTTAAAGTCCTAAGTGTACATTAAAATCCTCATTCTCTGACTCTGGTCAAGACGCCACTATTGGAAACCAAACAAAACCTCCTAATCTGTCTATATGCTAATGGAGGTGTTTCAAAATAGGCACCTACACATGTTTTGGTTGAAAGGTATGAAAGCAGAAGATTCTCAAACACCATCTCCACTCTTTCTGACTCAACCGTGTTATGAAATATCCACAAGAATCTCTATGGAGGAGATACAGCACAGAAAATGTATGAACAATTAATCGCTGCCAAAAACACATGCCAGTGGGTTGAAGTGTAACATATTGACAGGATTTCCGACCAACAAGCTTAATTTCTGGGTTATCCAGTTTGGAGTTCCAATCGAGAAACATGGCTAACGATACTCGAATGACTTAAGTATACTTTGGCAGCAAACCGTCCATGGCAATAACACAATTAGTGCTGCTGAATATCTTAGAGCCTAATCAGCACAGGTAGAAATGAACTGCAACGGACAGAGAAGAGAGGGAAATGTAAGCAGCTCTTGGCAGCATCTTTGTTCCACGGTTTCAACAGGTTTTATCCGTCCCCTATGGCCTGTGTGCAATGGATTATTTCCCGCTCACAGCACATTGAAACAAGTGGAGAAATTCTGCCAAATGTGCAGATTCTAAACTTTCACTCAGTAATGCATTTGGGCTTATAAGTAAATTAGATACTGTATTATGATTTGAATTTGATGAAGTTACTGTGTGTACATTTTTTTATTCAGCCAGAAAAAAATACCAGCAGTCACATTTTTGCAGTCATTTTTTGAAATCAAAACAAACCTACGAAATCCAGTGTCCTCAACAACAGAGAACTTCTGGTCATCCAACACAATTAATTCCATTATTTTTTAGTTTATTTATTTATTTATTTAACTTTTTTTTTCTTTACTTTCACTCTTTGGCACTGTACTTTGCACATTTTTTTTCATAATTTTAAAAAACTGTGGCTACCAACTGCATTGATGCGTTAGCAGTGGGCATTTCCTTCTGCTTTTGTTTTGTATTCTGTGTATCAAGCAGGATGTGGTGTTTTCACAACATGTTTTCACCTGTCATGTAGTATCAAACCTGTAGTGGAGAAGTTCTTGGGTGTTGCAACCCCTCCTGATACTTGGCATGAACAGTGATTATGAATCTACTGTCTAACGAAATTTATCTTATTATTCCAAAACAAACTTTTTTTCCTCTTTTATATAGGGATGCATCCAAAAGTTATCGACAAAAACAATCTATAACAGGGATGTCCAAATTTATCCAGGCTGGTATGGCTGCAGGTCTTCATTCTAAACTAAATGGTCCACACCTGATTCCACTTGTTAAATCAATTCGTCTCAGTCTTTAAATAAGTGATCAAGTGCTCCTGCTTGGCTGAAATGAAAACCTGTAGGCACACTGGCACTTGGTTTATGAAATGGCATTTTTGGTCTTCTGGTAATATTTTTTCAACGGGTGAAATTTTCAGTGCATCCGTAGATCGGTGGTTCCCAAGCCTGATTCTGGAGAACCTCCTAGCCTGCACATTTGTGTGTTTTCCTGCCAAAACGCACCCACTTCAACTCAAGGAGCGTTCGTTAATTAGTGGATTAGTTGGATCAGGTGTGTTGAAAGCAGGGTAAACACTGAAACGAGCAGGGCAGGGGGTCTTCCAGGATGAGGGTTTGGAACCACTGCCCTGGATGTAAATTCACAGCAGAAGGGAAAAAAAACACTGTTAGTCTTTAACCTTAATGTAAGGAGATTTTTAAACTATTTCTATTCATTATGAAATTTTAACACAATATAAAAGGCAGGTGACGTTTTCAAATTAGGCAAAACAAACAAACAAACAAACAAACAAAAAAGCTAACAGAAAACAAAAACACAAATGGAGATTTTGTCCTGAAAGTGACGAACTATGTATGTAAATGTATGTAAATTAGACATGAAATTAGGTACATGTTACCAATTATGATTTTTTGCACTAATATATGAAGAGTTGTATTCCAAAATGCTGTATATCTATCTGTAACCATATTGAACATAGCGAGTTTCTAAAAGGAATAAAAGATATGAGATAATATTAAGTATGTGACAATAACTCTCAGCAGAAACAACCAGTAATAAGTTCACATAGCAACAGTCTTATGGTTAGATTCTAGATCCTGCAGGATCATCTCCATGATGAAGCTTCTTGCTGACCAGCCCTGTGTACATGGACAGGCATGCCCCTCTGAGCATGTTTCTCAGCCTCACCATACCAACCAGTAACATGGGATGCAAGTGCTTGGCTCAACTATACTGCTAATCCTACCCTCACTCTCACTACACACATGCACACGCATAGAAATGGATCCTCCAGAGCAGAGAGGAAGTCTAGTGTATAATGAAATGTAATGAAGCTTTTTAAAATGAAGAGCGCTTGAAAACAGCTGCCGTTCTTTAGAATGCACTGCTACAGAACCTCCAGCTTAAACTGGAGACGGGTTATGAAGAGCCTTCCAGAACGATCCACTCACAGGACAATAACAGTTCTATTAAAGGTGGTAGAAATGCAGACGGGGCATTGAGCGTTGGGAAGTTATCATGACTGTTTCTCCCTGTCGTTCTTTCACACTTGAGAATTGCTTTTGTGTCAATAGTGAAATAGGCTCCTGGTGAGGAGGTGAGGGAAGAGTCATGGGGAGGCAATCAATTGATGCTGGCATCAGGCAAAATCCCACAGGCTCTTTCAGGTGGATTAGGCAGAATGAAAGGGCTGGTGCATGCTGTGGAGAAGAATCAGGATAGTATTTTTTTCCCCTCCACAGCGAACTGCACAGTTCAGACTACCCAGAAAAATAGCCAAACTGCAAGCAGACTTTATGATAATGCTTGGCTGCAGGACTCCGCAATGAGAAAGTCTTATCAGTTCTAGAGTCAACATTCATCGAGTCTCCATTAAAACTCCCCACTGCACACTCAGTCCTACTATGACCCCAGTCTGACAGGCGAGCAAGATGCATGGTGCCTCCTCAGCAGGAAAGAGATAAATACGTCTATTGCTGTGAGTATGAGTGGTCTGCATATCTGTTTCTAACACTCGAACAGCTGAGATCAGTAACAATTATTTTACATATTTTCCAATTAAGAACAGACTGTACGAACCATTCTGTTTATTATGCAGCACTGGCGTGTCGTGATAAGAGCTAATGGGCATGCTTGTGACAAACACTTATGTTCACTTAATGTCTGTGTGTTAATTATTCAGAACTATTGTACTAATTGTGCTGTTATGTCTGAATGAACACAAGGGGTCTAGAAGAGAACTGAAACACTTCTGTACCAAACTACAAAAGGCTAATCAACAAACATGAACTCAATTTATTTTTTTTAATGTTGAGTTACACAAACATCAAAAGAGGAGGCCACATCTTTTAATTATTCACATCTACTAAGGAGTGTGCAAAACCTTCAGTGCATGCTAAAATTTAACAACTGCAACCGGCCTTAGTTTCCCTTCGGATTTACTGCGACCTGCTAGTCTAATTAAAACTGTGGCATCACTAGCAGACGGACTCATAGTGCGTTTTGCCGGAAAGCAGAAAGAGAAAAAGGAAAGTCTCTCTTGAAGAAGAACTTGAGGTTTTTATGGAAGAGGTGCAAAAATATGAGAAAGTTCCAAGTTATGAAAGTTATTAATGGGTGTAATTCTAGCGTGTCTTCTCCCAAACAGTGCTGTGGCCATTTTCAAAGCAATTATGGCCCCTTCGCTTCTTCTTGGTCCTAAAAACAATTTATTTTCTGAGTTCATGGAAGCAGCTCAGGTTAGTAATTTGCTTCAGGTTATCTCCTCCCCTGTTTCGCACTTCAACAGTGCCACTCCTTAAAATGCAAATGAATGAAGTCAGGCATGCTAAAACCCACAAATCAGCAATGACCTCATTAACATGCAAAGATGTTTCTGCACACAAGTTGACAGACCAGCTGTGATTGCTTTACTTATCATCACCACCGTAAATTTTTAGTAGATATCAAAGAAATCGACTCAAGTTGCATTTGATGGGACTTAAGCTTGACTGATTTGCAAGTGACTTTTAATGGACTGACTCGCAACTGATTGACTCGCAACTTGACTGGAATTGCCCTTAACTGACTCGCAGCTTGACTCTGACTTGCCCTAGACTGACTCGTAACTCGACATGGACTTGCTCTTGATTGAAACGCAACTTGATTCGGACTTGCCCTTGGCTGACTCACAACTCAACTCGGATTTGCTATAGACTGACTTGCAACTCAACTTGGACTTGCCTTTGGCTGACTCGCATATGCCCTAGACTGACTTGCAACTCAACTCGGATATGCCCTAGACTGACTCGCAACTCAACTCTGACTTGCCCTAGACTGACTCGCAGCTCGACTTGGACTTACACTAGACTGACGCACAACTCAACTCACACTTGCACTAGACTGATTCGCAGCTTGACGCGGACTTGCCCTTGACTGAATTACAAACAAACTCGCACTCCCTCTTCAGAGACTTGGAACAGAACATTGTGGATGCAGCTATAAATACTTCAACTGTCTTCCCTTTCAATGATCCTCTACTCCTACACTAAATGCTCTGTGTGTCTATACCTGGATCTGGACCTTGAGCGCTTCCTGCCCAGTCCTGGACTGTTGCCAATGCGGTAAGCATTACTTCCGTAGCGCTCGCGCTCTCTTTCCTCTCGGCGTCTCTCTGAAGAGTGAGCATGGCGCTCTCTCCTGTTGGGAGAGCGAGACTGGGACCTGAAAGAGGGGCAGGGGGGAAACAGAACAGGACAGGCCATCAGATAATAATTTACAGCAGCGGAAACAGAAGGTCTAAATCCCACCACAGCTGTTTAGTGCTACTTTGCAGTTCCCTAATTAAGGATAACATGATTTATTCTTTGCCTTATCTTGACAGTGTTCGTTTGGCCTCAGTAATGATAAAATTTTTTCCTTACTCTCTGTAATTATTTAAAGGAAACGGAGAATTGGCAAAAGGGAGAGTGGAAATATATTACCCAGCTTTGAGAGAGACAGATTACAGTTGGTGGCTCACAGCACTGTATTAAAGATAAAGTGCTTCCATCCTTACCTCTACATTATTAAAACAAAGTATGCATATGCCTCAAGCCTGCTTGCCTTTCCCTGACTCATGGGTGGTGTGGCACAAAACCCATATGGTAAGCTTACTCTTTTTTGCCCCATCTCACTGTTTCCAACCTGACCCCCATTTGAACAGCAGAGGATAAGTTAAGACTTTACACACAGTGTTTAGATGATAATGAAATTTCCCCCCAGCGCTCAGCAACATCTTAGTTTAACTAAATGGCCCATCCACATCATTCAGTGCAGGTATATGATTTAGAGCAGAATGATCCTTCACATTTCCCATCAATCGGCTCTATCTTGACTGTGGGATGGCATGCTGAGAACGATCCGTTTTTGCTGCTGTCCCTCCAGGCCATGGTTTCTCTTAATACTGCATTTTCTAATGGTGACTAAGTCTTTTTTCCGTTACACATTTCAAGGGCAATAACACTATGAAATGACCCTTGTTAAACTCTGCAAACTCAATCTAATTTTTCCCTGCGCAGAAGTCATTCGGGCAACAAATGAACATTCCTGCGTAACAAGCGAACACCCACATACAGAGAGGAAATCTCCTGTGCAGTCTGCGCACTCAAGTGGGAATTTAACATCTAATCAGTCACACACTCCCCTTGATCTATAAAACAATCAGACTGCAAGTAGTCAGGAAAAACAGTGTTTGCGAGGATCAGAAAAAGACGTAAATCACTCCCAAATGTACGTAATACACAACACGACACGGCAAACACAGCACGAGCTAACTGCCAAATGCCTCTAAGCCTGAAAGCCAAGCTGCTCTGGGAAATTAACGCAAACAGCTAACTGTGGCGCTTCATATGTATTCAAGTCATCTAGTCGTAAGGGTCAGGATTTAAAATCTGACCACTTGAACTCAAATTCATGAACGTCTCCGCTAGGATGAAGCACCTGTGCCCGAATGGATTTTTGTCTCATTCGAAGCAATCTATTACTGGCATTCTGATACAAGAGGTGCAGCCCATGCTGGTCACCTGGCGGCCTGCATTCTCTCTGCATCTCTGCAGTAATCACACAGTGTGGTCAAGGGCGTGAGGGCACCATTAACTAGCATGTAGTGCGGCAGGCCTGATAAGAGCAGTGCATGGCAAGGCCTGCTAATGACTGTGCTGGATTGACATGGGCAAAGGTGGGGCTGATGTAGATGAGGCAGTGGGGTTGGGTGAGGGCGCTGGTGGGGGAGCTGTTGAATTAGGATAGTGCCACAGCCCCAAGCCTCATTAAGGCAGGTCAGATGAGGAGAGATAGGAGGAACGGCTCAGTCAGGGCACTGAAGTGTCCAAGGCTGGGGAACGCACAACTACGGACGGGTTTTTTTTTAAGAATTTTTGCTATTTGAATATACACATTTTTAAACAAATCTATTAAAATCTACAAATCTATTAAAATCTCATATAGGGCTGTTACTAATTAATAAAGTAATGAATTAAGATGATTAATTAAGTAATCCGTGTTTTAAAAGAGGCCAAACAATAAAATGGACTTTGAAAATCAAACCACAGTAATGTGCAAGTGTCAGAGACCCCCTTTTCATTTATTTAATTCCCAGTCCAAATGGCCATTAGGTACAAGTTATTCATATTTCAGTATCAGATGAGAAAACAGAAAAGCACAGAGAAGCCTCAATAACTAAATATAATATATAATACATTTTTCTGAATCCACTATATCCAACCTTTGTCTCTATTTCAGGTTCAATTCTTTTCATTCTTGCTTTTAGTTTTTCACAGAAATCTGCAGGGACATTTTTCCACATCTCCAAAGCCCCAAATAAAAAATCAAAATTTGTTTAGACTTATCATTCATGAAGCCTTAAATCAAAAACAAATCACCAACTCCAGATGTTTTACGTCTCCAACCACACTTGATTGATGGTCACAGACATGGTTAGAACAGTCTTTCACCACTTCGGCAGCATTCGCACTGCCTTCTGTTACTTCCAAAGACTTAGACTCACCAGTCCATAAAATCTTACTCTAAATCTCACAAACCCAGTTTCAGTGTTCCAACACACTTTCATTCACTTTCTTTTCTCAGTAGGGGCTTCTAGACAGCTACACATCCTTTCAGACCTATAGCACTGAGCTGTCGTCTTACAGTGGAAGGATGAACAGAAACACCTGTGGATTTTTTTCAGATCTGAATCAAGAGTGGAGCTTGATTTTCTCCTCTCTCAGAATTTTTGAAACCCCCCCCCCCATTCACTTTCTTTTGACTTTCCACTATCTTATGCAAGTGGATATTCAGACATGTAATCTCCTCAGAAATATCCCCTTAGCCAGCTTAGATGTAAAGGGGAAATAAATCTGCAAGGCAGATAGTTTTGTAATTTTCTGATAATGGAAAATGAATAACTGGTACATAACGGTTGTTTTGAACTTTGCCCAGTACTGCTGACTTTAGCAGAGTACAGCAGCTTTTCAACGATTCCAAAACTGCTTTAAAGCCTTTAAAAGGACTCCATTAAAAATAATAAACAATCTGAAAAATGCACAAAAACAGGGATATCCATCATGCTTTCGTATTATAAGAGAGAGCATAAGGACAATTTAAAATATGCGTCATGCATATTGCATGATACATGTGCAGTATCGTGTAATTTGCCAAATATTAATTGGTGATTCAATAAATTTTAATTAATTTCTTGTTGATGGATAATAATAATAATATGAGATAAGCAATAATATGAGAATATTCTATATTATTATAAATATAAAAAAAGAGAATGTGGAGATTTAACGTTTGTTTAACACTGGTTTCAGTTACCTTAAGAGGTGATGTGTAAATGATTGGTTGATTTTGTGTTTAGGTTGGGTCCTAAGGGTCACTGTACAACTTCTTCATATATTCCTTTGGATTGTTTCCAAATTCTGCTTGTTGTTGGCATCTCACTTAACGTGAGATGCAATATCAGCTGCCTGTGACCTCATATTCAATCAAAAAGAACTAAAAATTACCAAATAAAAAAACAACTCATTAATAATTTAAACAATTGCTCCAAACTACAGATGGCTTATTCAAATACCCGACTGAGTAAACGGATATTAAGATGGATATCCGTATCTTTCAATAAATCATCTTAAGGATGTAAGTGCATTCACACCAGCTATGTGTTAACTGCAGGAGCTTGCTCAGTCTTGTACTTGGCTGTGTATATAGAAAGTGTAGTTACCATCTCTGAGTGAAGACAGCAGCCAGAATACAAGAGTAAGACAAGCTCACAGAGAGATAGGAGGTAAGCTGAAGACTCGTACTTCCATTGTGCTGCTATAAGATGGCCACAAGGAATAGACAAATTTTTTTATACAACTTTGCAGCAGGACTTGAGTAAGGCTGGTGAAGCCAAGCCTCTATCTCTAAAGTCCCACAGAGGCTTGACTGAACCAGATTAGTACCCTAAGAAGCATTTCCCCAAAGAACAGGTTCCATCTCAGTCACACAGAGACAAGGCTTACGCTAGCAAACAAAAAACTCTGAAAGCCGGATTCTCAGATGCTCCTAATCTGGCATTAGAGGAAGCATTCTAGCCCCCCGATATTTCACTTCAGCAAGTTCATTTGACTTGCTCCCTTTCCCATTGTTACCGCCAAACCCTGAATTTGGCTAGCTTGCACTTTGCAGAAATATAATCTCCAACACAGGCATGAGTGAGGGAGAGCGTGTGGGGGGAGTGAGCAAAGTGAGGTGGGTGGGAGCAGAGAAAGTGAGTGAAACCACAATTTCAGCCTTTAATTTTCACTGTAAGTGATTTCAAACCTGGGGCAGAAATGATTCAATCTACAGAAATTATATTAAGGCATGTCAAAACGACATGATGAGACGAGTGTAATTACTGCAACTTCAGCAGCTGATAATGACAAATTGGCCCTGATTTTGAGGGACGAGGAGGGCGATGTAGGGAGGTTCAACAGATTTATTCTCTAATAAATCCCCTCTCAGAGAACTCTGCTCAGTGACAGATACAGAGAGTGGCAGAGATTATATGTGTAAATGAAGATTTAATATCTGTAAATGTATAAAAATAGGTATTGGTTACTTTCATATCTTGTTGGACTGTACATTATACTGTGTGGCACAGCATAAATAAAAAAAAACAGCTACCCAAACTGTTTACAGGTAGCTTTGTTTGTCCTCTTTGACCTTAAGGGGTCATCTTTGCACTGGACTCATGTCACTGCAATGCAATCATTTATAACACCTTACTAATCAAACTCCAAATATCTAAAGTCATCATATCAAACAAGCTGTCAAACGATTAAAATGAAGAATCGTGATTAATCACATTTTTGCGTAATCACAATTTACCACATTTGTCTTATATGCTCAAATTTAACCCTAAAGAACGAAAGAAAATGAACATGAAAATCTTGTGATTTCCACACTGAGTGAGCAGTTTCCAATCCCAGTTTCCAGTGAGAGTAATAGTGGCTGCATACTTCTGCATTACATCTTGTGTTCATGGGAAATGGAGTTTTCCACTTCGCTGTTACTTTTGCTAATTTGCTGGTTGCTGATTTATCCTTTGGTCTCCTGCAAGCACTGTCCAGTGTAGTCTGCCAAATTACTTATACTGCCACATCAGCACTGAGTATTGCTTCGAAATAACATTTCAGACTTGATTTACTTTGGTGATAGGCTAACTCACAGTGCAGCAGCAGCAATTAATGAAACTTTCTATTTGAAAGCTGTCTTTGAATGAGAGGGGTACAGTTGCAGAGACAGAAAAATAGGAAAAATTGTAACGGCATAAAAAGTAGTGCCATTAAACATTTATCATGTTAACTTGTTATTAACGCATTAATATTGACACGGCTAGGAAATACATAAAAAACCAAGTCAGTTTTAACTCACTGCTCCGTTGTCCCAGCGATGCATATCTGTGCTCCCTCAAAGAGTAATGTAAATCTTTGGTGGCAGCCAGTGATAATTAAAGCAGTTTATAGCACAGTACTGTGCACAATCTGGCAACCACTGCATCCCTGTGTTATCTACAGCACTGAGCGATTATTTCCAATAAGTTCAACAAAGGAAATATTTAAGTGAGGGATTCTAACATTAAAACCCGCTGAACACTTTGATAATCAATCTTTTTTAGAAAGAGCACATAAGTAAACAAACAGATGGACAAGAAAGCTCTAATAAACAATAACCTGTCAGTATGAATTGCCTTTGGGTATCTGCAGTAAACACCATTATTCAAAGAGTGAATTAGTTCCTGGAATCAAGTAGAAACAATGAAAACTGGTTCGTACCTGGACCTCCTGTAGGAGCGGTATGCGCTGGGTAAAGAGTGCTTGGTTTTGGACCTGGAGCGGGACCTGGAGCGAGATCTTCTTTTGTGTTTCTTCTTCTTCTTGTCTCTGTCTCTGTCTCTATCTCTGTCTCTATCTCTGTCTCTGTCTCTGTCTCTGTCTCTATCTCTATCTCTATCTCGATCTCTGTCTCTGTCTCGATCTCTGTCTCTTTCTCTTTCTCTGTCAAGGCCTCGAGAGGCAGAGGAAGATGATGATGAGGAGATGGGCAGGAGAGAGGCTGGAGGGTCAGTGCTTCTCAGCGGGGCTGCTTCTTGGGCTGGGTGGTCTAAGCCTGGTATCTGGACTGTGTGGGGAGGGATGGTCCCCATGGACAGGAGGGGCACTTCTGGCTGTAGAAACACACAATAGAGAGACATGAGAGCCTACCCTCGGCCTGCACTCCAGAAGAACAAAAAAAAAAAAGAAGAAGAAGAAAACGTGTAGTAATCGGCAAGATCCAATCAGGGGCTTTGATCTGACAACATTAAGGAGTGGACGAGATAAAAGAATCCTTCAAACGCTTTCCGGATTTGTGATCTTCTAAAATCAATAGTGCTGTGACTGGTTTGGAGCGGAGAGTTTCTAATTTACTGTACACTTTTAATCAGTGTTTATGTCTGCATGCATGAGCAGGAGTTGCATATGCATGTGGACACGTGCACATACACATTCATACAATTTATAAGAGATAAAAGAAAAAATAAAAAACACATAAGATGCACACATGCTGGCCCCAGCAGAGGAAAAGCTGGGAGCTTTGTATCTATGTCATCGCGTGGGTCATGATTACTCATCTTTGTTCTTTTGCGAAGACTTTTTTAAGCCTCTAATTAAGCGATACTGGATGTTGCTCAACACAATGCGGGCCTGGCACAATATAATTGGCCCTTCTCCTCCAGCTCTAATTGCTTCAATATGCGTGCGTCCGATTTAATGAAATGCCTGTAACTTTGGATTCACATCAAAAATGAGCTTTCATCAATCAATGATCCAGCCCGGCCTGTCAAATAGCATCTCTGTATTTCAGTTTGATGTAAATGTGAGAAAATCCATTTTGTTTTGAGGCAGAAAAACAGGCAGGCAAAGGCAACCTCCCCCAGCCCTGTGAGGTCTGCATGAGAGCACCGTGGAAGGTTCTGAGCATGCCAAGTCCTGCTGCCGCAATAGTGCCTGAAATGCAGGGATGCAGAGAGATAAGAGGTCACATGCAGCTCCCACCTGCCTGTACTTAACCAGGACACTACGGCTTTACTGAGTCTTTATATATGTGGCCCAATTAATTTTACAACACAGTGTGAAACTTCCTCCAGCTAACATGGAAACAGCACACGCATCTGCTCTGAAACAGATAGCGATGGCTCTCCGAGGGAACTAGGGGAAGCGGAGAGATAGAGAGGAAAAGAGGGAAGAAGAGAAAAAAAAAGACAATGAGAGAGGGAGTGAAAGAAGTTGGGAAGGAGAACACAAAAGGAGAGCAAGAGAATGACATTACAAAAGTCAGTATAACTACTCTAGACTAAAAAATCGATCCAATCCAATTATATTCACTGAAAAGCAGAAACAGATAACTGGCTGGATATATTTCTCTTTTTCACTACACACTTAAAAAAAGATGGTTTTTCAATGGATCTTTAGTAAAGAAACTGGTTCTATATAGAACCATGAACACTCAAAGAATCCTTTGCATGATTAAACGGTGCTTCGCAGGGTGAAAGTGTTTTCTAGATTGATGGACAAAGTGCTGCATAGTTCTATACAGCACCTTTTTGAAAAGGGTTCTATGTAGCATCAAAAAGGGTTCTTCTATAGTTACAAGCTTGACATCGCAACCACAGTAGAACCCTTTTCGAGCTATTCAAGTCCTGTTGGAAATATCAGATTTACGAGATGAATGAAACGTTATTTCCAGTGTATCTTATTTCCAACCAAATCCACTTGAACACAACTCAAGTCGTACTAATGACCTCTACAGTCATAAGTAGGAACTTCCAAGGAGGATTCTAAGACAGCATAAGGCCACCAGGAACCACTAGAACAGCTTCAATACGCCCTGGCATAGATTCTACAGTCCCTGTAACTGTACTGGAAAGAGTGAACATTATTCTTCCAAATGATATTCCCTCAGTTGGTGTTTTGATGGTCCAATTGGTCCAAAAGCTTCCACAGCTGTTCCCCTGGGCTGAGATCTAGTGACTGCAAAAGTCACAGCACATGAAAACATTTCATAATCATCAATCATTCAGTGACCCCTATGGATGGACGCCCGGAAGCGACCACTCCCATCAGAATGGAACTGTTTCATCATAATATAAATGCGACCAGAATAGCTTCGTATTTATTTGCAGTGACCCTTTCCTTCTAAAAGGAAAAATGGATCCAAACCATGCCAGCAAAATGACCCCACAGCGCCACCGGACCCCCTCATACTCGGTAGGGGTCAAACATTCAGGCCTGTACCATTCTCTTGGTGCATTCAGCTACACAGTGAAATTTTATTAATTTTATAGCTCACAGCAAGTCTTGTGGTGTACAAATCCACCCGACCTTAGTGATCGACGTTGTTTGAGCGAGTTGAGAGATTTAGGGATGTATTTACAGAAAAGATTTGGGCGACTTACTGACGTCTAGTGTTTGTACAAATGTTAGCCTCATAGCTCCAGCACTAAACCAAAGATGCAAAGCTGGACACCAAACATGTCTCTACTGACCATCTGGGCTAAGTGGAAAATAGTGTATTTGATTTTTTTTGCCGAACCGTTCCTTTAGCTTAAATTAAACCTCTTGTTTGTGCACACGTGAGAGAGCGCAAAAGAGGGATACAGCAGGGAGAGAGAGAGAGGAGAGACAGAAAGGGAGATGAAGATGAGCTAGCATATTCAGTCTGATAACTTCTCTCTCTGAATATTTCACAGTGGCCGAGGGCAGATAATGAGAGGCCAGGCCTGGTTTGATTTCAAAGGCTTCAGGTTAAAAATAGGATGACATTTGGGAGGCTAATCCCACAGGGAAAGTGCAGAGAGAGTGGCCAGTCTCTCACACCTGCTCTCGTGAGATAGGGAGAAAAGCGCCCTCTAAAAATCACACATTTACCAGAGAGACCCACCAGTCACATAGAGTCCACACAGTCACACCAAACACACACACACACACCCCCACCCAACCATATACATGCAAGAGAGGAGGGGGAAACCGGCCAGGAACGCAAGGTCAGCAGTGCTGCAGAGCTTAGGTCACCCTGGAGTTCAACTTAGCGGCCTCAAAATAAAACAGCGTCTACTCCCATCTTGCCCGTCTCCACTCACGCTGCCTGCTGAAGTACTTTCACAGCTAAACTAGGACACTGATCTGAGAAATGTGTCACTAATAGCGATATAAACGATTAACCCGATTAACTGTTAACCAACAAATAATTGTTTGGCCAACAATATCAGGGGGAAAAAAACGTTAATTCTGTGCATTAGGGCACAACAGGCAATTGGTTCTACTAGATGGGCTTAATAAAAATGAAGCATTTGGGACTTTTGAGAGGATGACAGCACAACTACAACAATACACCATATCAAATACAAACTAGCTAAAAAACAGCAAAAACACACAACTATTTGTCCATGTTCTCAGAGAGAAAGCGTGATGCATAGCGGTGTGAGGAAATCACACATGGCGTACAAAATAATAGAGAAGGACACACTGGACGGTGCTTTCCAGAGCTATATACAGAGCCGAAGGCCCAGACATGGCACATATGTTTGCTTTAACCTGAGCTAGTAATGGATGATGCTAGTAATGAACTTCAGAACTTTCAGAAGGTCACCACTGTATATTCCAGTCACTGGTCCACTTTTTAGTTTTTAGTCATTTAATCATCAATATATAGTTGTCAGCCCTTCAGTTTAAACAAAACAGGGTTATGCACAGTATATTTAACACAGTGTTGGGTTGTTAACTTCATATAGACGTTTATACCTGGCCTACTTTTATATCTAAACAGTGCTGTGTTTTACAGTCAATGCAAGGAACACTTTTTAATATCTTGGTGCTTTAATCCAGTCGAAGCATGGGCTCAAGTGTGCATGCATGACGTGTTTACAATAGCTTCAAATGTGGCTCAGCGGATCAGATTTTAGAAATATAACTCTCCATTTACTAATTTTGATGGGTCACATTGTTGATTTTAGGCTTGGTGATAAATGATTGTCAAGTATGAGTTGAAGAAGTTTGCATCTCTAATCACTAATACTGGTTACCATCACGACTGTCAGCTCTAAATTGTTACATTTCTTAAATTTAAGTCTTAAATAATGTATATATTACAGTGAAGGCGGCAAAGCTTCCAAGCATGCTTCATGGTTTTGTTGGTTTCTCTAAATAAGCTCACATAGGTCTTTCTGAACGTGTTATCCTCCTGCTAAAGCCTGGATTATTATTTTTCTTTTTACATTTTTATTCATTCAAACTCTGTTTTGAAAGAAATGCACTGGTTAACTGCATCTTTTTTTTTAAGTTATTTTACTTATTTATAAAGCTCTGCATGGCCTTAAAGCACCTGCGTACCTTACTGAATATGTGTCTGTTTATGTTCCAAAATATTCTCCTAGAACTAAAGATACTGGCCTTCTGTAAATGTCCTGCATCAATCACAGAAAAAGTGGAGCGAACTCGTTCTATGCTTCCAAACTGTGGAACTCATTCCCATGTTTATTTAGACAGACAAGCTCTATAACACTTTAAAAAAATAAAACATCTGACAGGTCTAATTTTAATTAAAGATACACTTTTCTGCAGTTATTTTTAAAATTTTCTTTCATTACTGAACTTCATTACTTGTCTGCAAAGCACACTGAGCTGCTACCTGTATTAAGTGCTCTATAAATAAAGTTTATTATTATAATAAAAATATGCAGGTGGTGACTATCTCTATGAAAACAGGTACACAAGCTTGAAATTATTAAAGGCTCAGAAGAGCTCATGAGGGGTCTATTTACTATGATATAAGACACAGCAGTAAGTATTGATACTTTCTCAGCAGGGTTTTTGCCTACGTCAATAAACCTGTGGGACCTTGGCCAACAGATATATCAGTTAGGCCATAAACTGAATGGCTGCTGCGAGAGGGAGGCTGAACCTAAGCTGTCTGGGACTGCCTGATCTCTGATCCTTATTTAGCCCCATCTTACACATCTCACTCATCACAGAATAGGATGAAAATCACACCTGAAATTGAGGTTTGTGCGCTACTCATCAATAAACAGCTCATACTTCTAATCGACTGTTAGACAGGAAAATTGGACAGAATAAACTGATTTGAAAAGCCTGTGACTCAGAGGGGAGCAGACAATTGTGAGGTTGGAGC